TAAATCCTACTGTAAATCGGCTAAATTATTATGGTCAATAAAGGGTTTACAATCCGGTGTGGATCCAATACACCTCAGTTCAGTTCCACTCAACGCAACCCAAATCAACTCAGCGCAACTCAGCTCAACCCAGCTCAACTCAACCCAATTCAAATCAGCTCAGCGGATCTTAGGAAGCCGATCGACAACACTGGTGATATTTGGCTATTGATCGACATCACACTCCACGAATCAGAAAAAATCCACCACAGTATTCACTAACATGTGAAGTGAGAACAGTTGCAAAAAAAATAATCCTGTTACTTTTGACATAGTTTGCTTCAAATAAAATGCTAAGTAACTCACCTAGCTTCCAGTGTTTCAGCTATTAGATCTGTAGAAATACCGTCATGAACCAGGATGACCAATTTGTTCGAAGTGGGATGATGACTACTGATGAACTGTTGCACAGCTAATTCGAACGCTTGAGCTGGTGAACTACCATATTTGGTGCCAGTCCTCAGTATTTTGATGTAATCCACTACCTGAATAAAACATACTAAACTTGTGTTTTCCTGACTACTCTATTTGGAAATAACAACATGGAGCACAGTAATCTAAGTATTTCATATTGGGCAGTAGCTACCGCTTACTAGCTACTAAAAACCAGCTACAAAAACTAGCTTACTAGCTACAGAAAGCATCTGTGTTACAGAATGATAGCTAATTTATGCATTCATCGTTCATTTATATCATTTAGCAGTATGAAATACTTAGCATCGACCTTTTCAGGTCGAGAAGCAAATGGCGATACGATGGGGAGTAAAACGTCGGGGTATCGATGGAATGTTATAATACCGTACGAGGTGTCACGTTCCTCCGATATGTTTTCTAAATGCCTGAAAATGGACTTATATCTGCTACTACTGCCTACAACAAATGACCCTCTTTCCTTCGTTACACATCATAATTATGAATGACATCTATCATTTTTTACACTACCTATTATATATAATAATAATAATAATGACAAATAATTAATGATTAATAATTAGTAATCAATAATTAATAGCAATAATAGTAATAATTAATAATGATAATAATAATAACAATAATAATAATAGTAATGATAATAATAATAGTAATAATAGTAATAGTAATGATAATAATAATAATAATAATAATAATAATAATAATAATAATAATAATAATAATAATAATAATAATAATAATAATAATAATAATAATAACAATAACAATAATAATAATAATAATAATAATAATAGATAATAATAATAATAATAATAATAATAAT